ACGTGGTAGAAAACGTGAAACCCAATTGTGATACAGTTACAAAATAATAAAAAGGAATGTGTAGAAATACGTAGATACATACGTTAAATGTTAACATTGCTCGTGTATCCACATAACATAAGTACATATGTGTGCATATACGTACATACATACATACGTACATACTTATATCGGCAATGACATTTGACGATGACAATTGACGATAATCGATAATCGATATACAAGAAATATTTATTATTGTCATGATATTGTATTTCGGCAACAAATTGAGCAGAACGTTCTAAATACTTCAATATATGAACTTACTAAATATACTTCTAATAAAGCATAATATTAAAAAGCAAGCCAACAATTTATACAAACTAGTTTTTAAAACCTCGCACACTAACACTCAGACACACACACACACACACACACGCACACACACACTTAACAGCTACACCTCTTATCACATGTATAAGCTATTTGGTTAATTTGAATGGGGAATAACATATGAGAAATTTTCTTTATATATATACAAATAATTTTTTTTTTTAATATATTTGTTGTCTTAGCAAAGAAAAAACGAAAACAACAAAAAAACGAAAGGATAACACAAACAAATACAATTTGTGTAAGCAAATGCAGATTCTTAGCCATTTCGAACGAGCGTGCATTTAAACATACATATACAGATGCATACAAACAAACATACATACATACATACATGATGTATGATTTTAAGATTTAAACAATGAAAAAATGTTAACTAAAACTAACGAAAGATTGATTCAAAGATTGCGTATTAAACACGCTGGAAACATACGCAGTGGACAAAATGTAATTTGAAAACTAAACAGAAAAAAAATGAAAATGAAAATGAAAAAAAAAAAAATTGTAAACATGCTAAAGAAAACTTACTTATTTAAATAAAATGTTTAGAGCTTAAGTACATCCACAAACAATGCACACACATTCAAAAATTATTATAATATGATATATAATATATTATAAAAATATATATATATACATATATACATACACATACACATACATATATACAACTTATGTATTTGTACTCATGAATACATATGTACGTGCATGTCGGTTTAATTGATGTAATTCGATGTCGAGTTCGCGTTAAACATGTGCATCAAGAAAATAATGCAAACTTAATGTAACCAATTTATCTTACGTATATTAAGCGACACACACACACACACACACACACACATACGCAAAATTACCACTCCTTTAACAAGCCGCCTGAAACCCCGCACCCCTAGCCCTAATTATAGAGATGGTCTGAAATACATATTCGTAAAATTATTCGGGCAAACCTAATTACATAAATATGTATGTTTACAAAGCGAATGATATCTATGTAATAAACAAACAAAAAAACACTTTTAAACAATTTGCGCATCAATATGATTTTATAAGGGAACCGTCTGGTGAGTAATTTTTAACAAGTCCGAAATGTGGACGTAGTTGATGGGAGCTCACATTTTTTTTTGGTTTCATCTTTGTTTCATAGTGTTCCGGCCGACAATACACTTTATTTGTGTACATGTATGTATGAAGCCAACCTCCCGCCCTACTATGCGATTCTCACGAATTCAAGTAGCCCGCGCAGGTCTTCCTGCATTCATTTTAATTTAAGATTTTGTATTGTAATGTTCCGTCACGCAATTAACTTTTTTTGTGTACCTGTATGTATGGACATACATTATGAAGCCAACCTCCCGCCCTACTATGCGATTCTCACGAGTTCAAGTAGCCCGTGCAGGTCTTCCTGCACTGATTTTAATTGTAAGTGTTGTATTATCCTGCTATTACCCGCTTTCTACTTCTAAAAATCTCTATCATAGAAAGATGGCAAAATTATCATCGTACACATTTGGGTAAGAATGTATTTTCATGTATAATTATATATGAATAAACAAGTAATAGGTTCTAGTCGGGAGCTCCCTGAACCCTCTTCTTCCAACATCAAATGCATATATATTTTCTATTTTAGAAGCTATATGTCAAGTTTGATGACTCTAGCTCTTATCATTTACCAAAATTGCCCAAAAAACAGGATATCGATTTTTATCGATTGCTTGGAAACGGAGTAAGTTATCGATTATCGGAAACAAACTCGATCTGCGCGGGAACTAGGAGCATCTACATTTCAAGTCTCTAGCTCTTATAGGTTCTGAGATCCTTGCGTTCATATATACGGACAGACAGACAGACGGACATGGCTAGATAGACTCGGCTATTGATACTGATCAGGAATATATGTACTTTATGGGGTCGGAGATGCTTCCTTCTGCCTGTTACATACATTTGGATTTTGCACAAATACAATATACCCTTATACCTATTTTTAATGGGTTCAGGGTATAAAAAAATTAGAACTAATCTACATAAGTTTAGCCGATCCTATTGATGTTCATATTAACTCTGCGAAATCAGCGCCTAGGTATAGATCTGTAGTGCCTTTCAGTTAACTTTTGTTAAATATTATAGTTTATATAGAAAGTAATCCAGTTAAAACATCAAAAGCTTGCTTTCCCTACTTTAGAAGTTCGTTGCAAATTTGCTGCCTACTTTACCACATGGTAAAATTTCATTGGCCATATTCATGGCTGAATATTGAATACGATAAATTTATCTTGCTTTAAAATAGTCGAATAAAAAGAACAATTTGCAAAATAATTTTTTTAATTTTTATTTAAAATACCATCTGCATCTGCTTGTTGTCGCATTTTATAATTTATACATAAAGTTAACTGTTTTTATCTTTAATTTTGTTTTTTTTTTTTTTTTTTGCATTTTAACATAATTCGCGCTTGCTGGCTTATCGTGTTTAATTATCTCTTTTAGTTATACATTCTATATATGTACGTTAATATAGTATGTATACATACATATATATATTTATTTATATATATAAATATTCTTGCCGTCTTTAATTTTTGCGTTTGATACATAATACTTTCATTTGATTTAAATATTTTTGGGCTCTACAGTCCCTCAATTAGTTATTTGTTTTGTTGTTTGTTATTAACTAGTTCCTATTTTTGCGTTTTTCACATTCGTTTTGAGTAGGTTTCAACGTGTTTTTACAAGCCAAATCAAAAAAAAAAAAGTTGTTCTTTGTTTTGTTGTTAATAAAAATAGATACAGTTCCTTAATAGCAAGCTGCGCGGCACAACTTTCTGCCTTCGTATTTGTTTTTGTTTGTATTTTGCAATATTTTACAATTGGTTTTTTAAAAAATATATATAGTGTTTGCTACGGGCTCAATTTTAATATTATTTGTTTGTTTTCTCGTGACTATTGTAACAACATTCGATTAGTTATAAATTACAATTTAATAAATGTTATTTTGCAGCTGTTTGTTTATGTGTAAAATAAGCGTTATTCGCTATCGTTTATTGTTTGCTGAATGCTGAATGCACTTTGTCTGCCTTTTGTTGTTATGTGTGTATATATATGGCTTACTATTATTTATTTAATGCTCAATGTATACGAGGTATTTGTTTTGTTTTCTTTTGCAAATAATGTATGTTGCATATGAATCGCTTTAGTTTAACATACCCAAACATATACATACATACATATGTACGACTTTCGAGAGATCATAACGAAAATTCGACACGAATCCGACTTCGACTCCGACAAATTCGCCAAAGATAAACGTGCTAAACTGCATTTAATAAAATAGCTTGAGTTTGTAAAAGAAACTAGCATATATGGCCAAAAAAAAAAAAAAGAAAAAACAATAGCTTCAAGTTTCATATAAAAAAATTAAACAAAAAATGAATACATTTAAAATTACGGGTATGGCAAACATTTAATTGAGACAGTGTGTGTTTTATGATTTGTATAATGAAATTGCGTACGTGTATTCTATCTGACAGAAATAAATATATATGATCATGTATATATATCTAACCGAATAAAAAACGTCTTTTAAAAAAAATATATATATAAGTCTTAAGTTTGGATATTAAAGCAACTTAAATCGAACAAAAAAATAAGAAGTCTTTTGCAAGTCTTTACACAGCTTAAATGCACATTCGAGTACCAGGTTGGGCATTGTTTGGGCCCAATACATAGTTTCAATAGCTACTCCGATAATAATATTGTTCGCTCTCAAGTCTTTATGGATCTTACGAATACAAGCTACCGACATATCCTGCCAGTACTAGAAACATTACATTGAAAATTGCTTAAAATGAATATCGAGTATGCATATATTAAGGTTGATCTTTTGTAATAACTTATATAAAGTATATTAAATGTATGTTTTTTGTTTGTTTTTTTGTTTGTTTGTTAATGTGTTGTTGGGTTCTGTCTCTCTTTATTTTACAGCTAAATTGCTGCCTTAAGCGCTAGTGATTGTTGTTGTTGTTAAATAAAAATATATGCTTGACTTTTTAAATATTTCTTTAAAAGTTATGACTTGAAGATGGTTTAACAGTTAATGAAGAACAAAAAACTCTATATTTGTGCCCAAAATAAATGTATTGTATATATAGCAACTGTTTTTTTTTTTGTTTGTTTGTTTGTTGATTTGTTTGTTGTTGTTGTTTTCTTCTAACTTATTGTTATTGTACTGTCTGTTAACTGCACAAAATTTGATGTATTACATTTGTTTGTTAATGCTGTTGATTTATGAACAAATTGTGTGTTGATTGGGGTTGAGGGATTGTTGCATGAATTAACTCATGTACTATATTACAGATGTAAAACTAAGCCTTAACCTTATAAGCGATGATACATACAATTAGTGGGAGGTGTTGGGGGGTGGGTGGTGGGAGCAGAGGAATTTGCCAAAATACATACGCGTGCTCACGTATGCTGTATACACATATATATATATATATATATATATATATATATATATATATATATATATATATATATATATTCATAATTAATATGTAACTGACTAAAGGCAAAATATTAGATTTAAAAAAAATATATATGTATATATTATCTATACATATATGCATGTATATATGTATATGTATAACTAGGATATACGTTCAGAATTATTAGTATATATGCATAGCTTTTAACTGTACTGCAGATCATTCATTGTTCAACGTCAGCATTTGGAGGAACAAATGTGGGGAAGGGAGGGAAGGAAGGTTTGCTTTTAAAGCGACTACGCAATGAGTGTGCAGGTGTGTGTGTGTATGTGAGTGTGAGTGTGTGTGTGATTTTGAGATGCACTTAAGCAATGAGTAAACGTCTCAACAGACACATTTCTGGCCTGTTCCGGCTGTTAGCGAGAGCTTGGATTGTCCATTGTTTACCGTAGATGCCACAAAGCTGGATGAACTGCATCGCGCAGAGCTTGGTAAAATGTTTGGCTCACTCTCTCGTTTCACATGTGGTTTTAAATGCAAGCGAAGCCAACCTCATGGTTAGATTATGTGCGCCTGCTGCTGCTGTTCGCTCAGCTTGAAGGCCGCCGCATCGCTAAGCAGATGAAAGGGCACACCTGCCGCCGTGGCCACCTCCAGTCGTGGCGAGGAGGAGGCGGCTGCTGCTGCTGCCATTGCTGCTGCCGCTGCTGTTGCAGTTGCTCCTGAGGGGCTGCTGGCAGCGCCACCACTGCCACCGCCACCGCCACCACCACTGCTGGCATTTGTGAGTCGCTTTAGCTGTATGGCATCCAGTGGCAAGTGATGCGACACATGATGCGCACCGGCCGTCGATAAGCTGCCCAATGTGGTGGCCGCCGCCATAGTGGCCGCCGCCGCTGCTGCTGCTGCTGCCGCAGCGGCAGCTGCATTGCCCGTGCTGGTTGTGGTAATGGTGGTGCCCGCGTGGGAGGCGCCACGTCCGCGCTTCCGTTTCGGCAATATGCCCTTGCGTGCCATATAGAAGCGTATGGTTGAGACGGGTATATTGAACATATTGCTGACCGTTTGAAATGTTTCGCCCTTTGACACACATTTGGCGGCCTGGGCGAGCGAGGCCTCTGAGCGTCGCACCCGCTTGTACGATGTATAGCCATCGATGGAGCTGTGCATTAGCGATGAGCCGGATGTGTTTGCCGAGGTATCCAAATCAGCGTCCATGCTGAGCGAAAGGCCAGCAACATTGCTAACAATGCCGCTGGAGCTGCCCATGGTGCCGGCAAAGCCGCTGCTGTCATTGTCCTCATCATGGGCGGCCACATAATTGTGATCGTCCTCAATGGTGGAGTCCAAATGATGCTGCAATTGCAGTTGCTGTTGCTGCTGGTGTTGCTGTTGCAATACCAGCTGCACATTCAGTTTGTTGTCGCTGGCCGCGGCAAAGTCCTCGTAGTGTTCGCTATAAACATTCCAATTGTTGCTAGCATCATCAGCCGAATCATCTTCGGTCGGTGCATTCGAGTTGTTCGAAGCAGCCGCCGAGGAGCCAGCATTTGTTTGCGGCTGCTGCTGCTGCTGCTGCTGATGTTGTTGTTGTTGCTGCTGCTGTTGTTGTTGCAGCAACTGCAATTGAAGAGTATTATTGCCATTTGTCTGCTGGCGCTGGCGCTGCTCCTTTTGCTGCAGCTGTTGCTGCTGTTGCAGTAGCAATTGTTGCTGCTGCTGCTTGGCGGATAGCGCCGTTGTGCTTGTGGTTGTTGTCGATGTCGTCGAGTTGGTGGCCGTGTCATCCGTCTCAGTGCTGTCCAGTTGATGTGGCTGCTGTTGTTGCTGTTGCTGTTGTTGCTGTTGTTGTTGCTGCTGCTGCTGCTGTTGCTCCTGCTTTAGAGGAGCTGCCGACTCCTGCGTCGCTGCCTCCTGGCGCATCTGTTGCAGCTGCTTGTAGTTGATGGCCGCCTCGGAGCCATAGAGGCCGCGTATACGCAGCTGCTCAGCGCAGCGCAACAGCTGGCCCAATCCAGCCTGCGTCACATTAACCTCACCCTTGTACATGAAATCGACCAGCGCCTGGATCTCCCACAGTTTGATCTCGCTGGGCAATATGATGACCGGATGCTTGCACGGATTCTCAGCCAATATGGCTTCAAAGTATGTGGAGCAGGCAGCCAGCACCAGGCGATGGCAATGCACCTGATGCCCCTCACAGGCTAGTGTCACATCCACAAATCTCTGACCAGCTAACAGCTGTGGAAAGGCCGCACCAATGCTGCCCAAATGGCTGTTCCATCTCACGCAAAACTCCTGTGTGGTGGCGCTCATCCTGTTGTTGCCAAGAACGCCTCGTCCACGTTCGATTCGTAAGCGGTATCCAACTCCAGATCCGATGGAAGCTCTAAAGGAAGCTCAATGCGTGTTTTATTATCTAAAAAAAAAAATAAAATAACAATAATTAAAAAATAAAAACAAGCTTTTGTCAAAATTTCAACGTGAATAGAAACTCACAAGTTATTCAATGAATACTCTATTGTTAAAACTAAATGAGTAATCGATCGCAACACAGACACTCGAGTCGGTTGCATTGATGCATTGATTGAATCATGCACATCAGTAGCTACATAATTCATTCACTCCATGCTCACAGTGTTCGTTTGAATGCATTCGTATGGGCAAATAACATATACATAAATTATGTTCATTCACGACACTCACTCGCATTCACGTATTCACTCAATACTCATAAAGCATTTGCAATTCTATGTATTTGAATGCATTCATGTTCATTCAATTACTTTAAAGCACTCACTCACATTCACGTATTCATTCAATACTCAAAGCATTTGCAACTCTATGTATTTGAATGCATTCATGTTCATTCAATTACTTTAAAACACTCACTCGCATTCACGTATTCATTCAATACTCAAAGCATTTGCAACTCTATGTATTTGAATGCATTCATTACAATAGATGAATAATTGTGAGTATTTTGAGTCATTCAAAACTCATTCACTCGCATATCTGAGTTCATTCAATACAATCGTTTCAACATTTCAGATGCATTCACTCAACCCATTCTAGGCACTCATAAAGATTGATTCACAGCTCGAGACGCATTCAAACTGTGCATTCACATGATTCACTTCGTGTATCCGCTTTCTAGGACATTGCATGCAAATATTTTAGTTGAAGCGCGAACACAGCACACTATTGAATAGCATATTTTACTTATTTGATTCGATTTGATTTGATTTCTTATTAATATGATTACCGAAAGAAAGCGAGTTCTTTTATTGTTGCTGCGACGAACGTTTCCTTTGCACCTTCTTGCGACTAGCATCAACAAGCGAGCGCTTAGTCGAAACTAAACTTAACTCAAGAATAAAGCGCATGTAGCATGCATTCAAGAGCGAAAATTAAATAAAATAACTAGAATTTAACGATTGAAATAAGGCAAAATTGATTTTTTTTTTTTTTTCTTGCAAATTTCTGTTGCTCTGCTTAAAAAGTTGCTGATTTTGCTGCGCACAATTTATAATTTTTGCTGGTGATTTTAGTTTTTCTTTTTGTTAAATGCGCCTTCTCTCCTTTTTGCAATTTGACAGCGCGTTGCGCAAAAATTTTATTTTGTACAGACTCCTGTCTGTGCTTAATGTAGTTTGTGCTTCTTCCTTTTTGGTATCTTCAGTTATTTCGTTTGTGTGTGTGTGCGTGTGTGTGTGTGTGTGCGTCTGCTGGTTCTTGTCTTGGTCTGCTCATATTTTGTTTTTTTTTTTTTTGCATTAAACAAACGCCAAAAGACAATGAATTATACTGAAAAAAGTAAAGTAATAAAAATCAAGCATAACAACAACCGACGACGCGACGACAACGACGACGACGACGACGAAGACGACGGAGCGAGCCAGGAAAGCACACAGGCAGCTGCTTGTTGTTGCTGCTGCTTTTGTGGTTGGCGGCGTGAGGAGCAGAGCAGAGTCCAACATTGTGGAGCAGTGCGAGAGGGAGAGACGCAGAAATATGCTGCTGCCTGCTGCTGCTAAAGAACAGAGCAATTTTGAGCACTTTACTTTAGCATTTTCGAATTATACAAAGGCAGAAAGGAAGCAGCGAGCAAAGCAGGAACAACAAAAAACAAGGGAGCATGGCACGCACACAAATGCAAAAACTCAAACGCAGAGAGCAAAAGCAGGAGCGAGAGCGAGAGCGAGAGAAAGAACGCGTCTGCGCAGTAGCATGGAAATGTGCAAAGGAAGTGGAATAAGCCAGCAGCATAGTGGTTTGAGCTAGCGATAAAAGGTAAACAATTTAAAATGACTTATATCAATGTTGTGCTAATTACGTTGAATGTCTGCTTTTAAGTTAACTATCTTCTTGTTTGAATATTTACACACTATTTTATGACATTTTTGTTTATAACCATAAACCACTTTAGAGGTTTACAGTAATAATGTTCCAAAACAATTATTTCATATAACATGTTAACGGTACGGTTTAATTTTTAATAATTTTATTATTTTTTTTTTTTTTTTGCACTTAACTGCAAACATTAAATGTGTGCCAATGTTATTGCACCTGTTTGGTTCTCACTCTACGTTTGTATGCCGCATAATGTCGAAAATGCGAGGAGGCTGACAAACAAAAAAAAAGGGATACAAATGCATATACATATATACATATATATACGTATATGTATATGTTTGTATGATAAACAAAAAGAGAAACGAAAAACGCAAGCGGCAAAACAAGCAATTTGTTGTTGGGTGCATCTAAGAGAGCGAGAGAGCCAGAGAGAGTTGCAACATATCCCAATCAGAAAGTTGCTAAAAACAATGGCGCTAGTAATACAAAACTAATATAAAATATACATTTATAAAGTTTTAGATTATATGCATAAAAATTGTCCAGAATTGTATCTTCCTGCACATGGAAATAGTAATTTTTAGAACTTACTTTGCAAGCTTGCAAATAGTGCAAAAATAGTGTGCAGACAAAACAAAAGTACAAAAAAAAAAAAAAAAAAAAAAAAAAAAAAAACAAACTCCTTGTTCTTATGCGAGAGCGAGAGAGCGTTCAGCACAAACAAGAACAGCCCCTGCTTGTGCGCTCTCTGGTACAAGACCAAAGCAAAATTGGCAACAATAAAAAAAAAAACAACAAATTTTCCAGAAAAAGGAAACAATATAAAAAAACTTTATATATATACATATATGTATATGTATGTATGTGCATGTGTATGCTGCTCAGGAGAAGACAACGCCGCGTCGGCAGCACAAAGGAGACTGTAACACCAAAATAGCATTAAAAGCGTGAGTAGAACAACAATGCGCAAAAGTTGACAGCAAAAAAAAAGCACAGCACAAGACAAGCGAACAGAAAGAAGTTGTAATATTTGCAGCAAAACATTTTAATAGTTAGGGGTTGAAAACTTGCTTCAATTTTGGCATACAAATGTATATATGTAAATATATGCTCATGTACAATTGTAGCGCATGTATTAATGTAAATACTGCGAGAATTCTATTTCAGTTATTTCAATAATTAGCTTTTCGCGCCTGCTTGGCGTTGCCAGCCTACGGCAAAACATTTGGTTACATACATACATACATATACATGCATACAATCCTCAATGGATGAGCGAGATTATCTGCACGCATGTATGTGTGTGTCTGTTATAAATATGACACAGCAATATAATTTCAATTTGAAAAATGAAAATACGTGTCTTTTAATCGTTTCTGCTGAAAAAAACAATCATCAAAATGGACTAAAACAATAACAATAGCAGTCTATCTGAAATAAGAGCAATAAACATGAGTCTGCAGCAGCAATAACAAAACAAAATTGACACAGCGGGAGACCAAAAGTTAAGCCGAAACAAGAATTGCCACTGTTGACCGCGAAAAATTATCGATACATTAATAGATGAGTGTGGTCATAGCAATCAGCTCTTAGCTGCTGTTATGAGACGTTAATTTTAAATTTGCGTAAGTACAAATATTTAACTGAGCACTAAACATTCGCGCGAAATTTAAATATTGTTAAGTGTGTGCGACTTTCTAAGCAGAATGTCAAATTTATGTTTACACATTGCAGCACACACTTGAATAGTGTTACGTTATGTGATATAATACTCTTGTTTGGTTAAGGATTTGTAGAAGAAATTCTATAAGATCTGATCGGCAATAAAAGGTATATAATACCCACATGTGTATACATATATGGACATACTCAGCACTTGCAGGAATATCCCTAATATTTGTTTGTTTTTGCTGTTGCCGCTCAAAAGGCAAAACGCACACATCCCAATAAGAAACGTGAATGCAAAATCGCTGCAGGAGAGCAAAGTGCAAGCAAAATTAAAAGAGCCAGCGTGGGCTATCTCTCTCACACGTATGATTGTTGAACTGTGCGTTTGTTAAAGGAGCGAGAGAACATTTAGAAACAAACAAAAGCAACAACAATAACAAAGCTAAAGCAGAAAAAGGAAGCACACTGGCGCATGCAGCATGGCGTGCGTGTGTGTGTGTGTGTGTCTCTCTCTCTCTCTCTCTCTATCTGGCTTGCGTGTCTGCATGAGCAAAATAAATCACAAGAGTTGCTGCTGCGGCAAAAAAAAAAAAACTAAATAAATAAAAAGCCGGGCGAGCGTCTGCGTCGCGTCAGGCAAAAATTATGCATATTTTGCTGCTTGAAATGAAGTTGGCAATTCATTTGGAGACAAAGGCATCAATTAAACAACAATATAAACACAAATCCAACAAACAAACAGGCATATAAGTATATATATATATATAATATAAAGACACATATACAGAGAATATTTGTTTCTGTTTGATGCGATTTATTTATTTGTGGTACCGACATCGCCGACTGTTTATATTTAGTTGCAAGGATGTACATACATACATGCATACATAGTTCACATACACACACGTGCGCATGCATATGTAGTTACAATGTTTTTACCTCGTTTTAGATGTGTTGGGTGCGTGTTGGCCCCTACCGCTAGCCGCGTTCTGCTGGCTTTATCCTTGCGTTGCGTGCGTCGCTTTTTGTTTAACACAATTCTTGCACAAATGCGGCTCACGGTGCACAGCACACAAGCACTGAGAGACTTGCGAACACAATGTGTATTGATTTTTCGCAATGTTAATGTTTAATAAAGCCAGCACATACGCACATACAGACAAACATACAACACACGCACACACACATATGTAGCAAACAACTTTTGAATATGTTTCGTACGACGCGCAACGCGCGTGTTTTTTTTTTTTAAAACATCCAACGAATGCAGAGGAAAAGCGGTGGCAGTGCTCGCTTTAACAATAACATGGGTATAACGTAAACAGTAAACTTCATTAGCACATCGCGTGCACGGCTTTCATGCGAAATTGTTCTTAAAATGCGTTTTAAAATTGAAAGTTTAAGTATAATTAACTTTGCGCACCGCCAACTTCATTGACTGTTCGGCTTGGGGAGTTTAGAGATGAGCGATATTTTGCGTATTTTAAAGAAGCGAGTATTTTAGTTTGCTGTGGAGCAATTCTGTTAAATTGCGGAGCAGTTCTGTTAATGGTAAGTTTAGGAGCAACCATAAATTTTCTAGCAACGGGATAATTAGTTGATTCGATTTTGGATGGTAGAACGAGTTGTCTAAGCGCAAAGTAATTGTAAACTTACATGAAGGTAACATGCTCGTTAAGTGCGCAATCGATATTTTTTAAAGCCCGATGCGAGTAAAACCATTCGATTACTGCCGAAGGAAATTCGAATCGATATATTTTTGTCGTACATCCCTAGCTTGCAGTGACCGACGTTGTCTCATTCATACTTTTTTTTCGATGTAATTTTTGCTCTTTCGTGTATTTTTTAACGAATAAGAATAATGTGTTAAAAGTTCAATGTGAATCGTATCGTCGTGTGTTCGTGCAGACGTGCAATTGTTAACCTACAGCAATAAACTGGTACGCTTCCGCCTTCCTCACCAAAAACAGCAAAATTATCAACCTTTAACATCGTTTGGCTTTAAATAAGAAATTACATACATAAAAATTATATGATGCACTGGCAAGATCTCACTGATGCTGATCCCAATGCGAAATAGCGGACGTACAGGCGTCACGGCGTTTGCACACAAAAAACTGTATTTTTGGCCCTATGCCTATGTCAAAGGCTTAGTGGGCGGTGTTTTTCATGTTAACACAATTTTTTTTGTTTATGTGGCATACGTGTTCAAAGCAAATGCGCTGCTTTGTCGTGTTATGTGCGCGAAATTTGGGGGCTTTAGCATTTATATTCCGAAAACTTCAGTATTGAAGTTCTTGTGGATATTGCTGCGTGGCAAAAATCAATGCAAAAAGTGTTTTTTATACATATGTATGTACATGGCAAAGCAATTTTTTCACTGCTCACACGTTCATATGCAAGTGCTTGTGTATGTGTGTGCATGAGTACGACAAGCATGCAAGTGTGTGTAAGTGTGTCGGAGCGCAACTCAACATGGCTGACAGTGTGGTGAGCTATGAGCAAGCAGCGGTGTTGCCCCATGTTAAGACGAATGAGGGACAGATTTATCTAATGAAAATAACTACCTCGCATTTTACGGTTAGACTTTCATAATGCATTAGTCAATGGTTTGTGTTATATGTATCAATTTTGTGCAATAAATGTATGGTCACACTTATGCGGCGCGCATTTTGACATTTCAGTATTTGACTTTGTCATGCACCAATACAAGCACAAACGGCAAATCGCAGCTGTGGTGTGTTTCGCTGTAACACACCATAGGGGCCGTTCTGTCACTGACTCGTACTTGTTATTGTGTCTGTCAGTGCTGTCGGCCGTGTCGATTCATTAATATTTTTTTGTATTTGCCGACAAACGGTCGTGCGCAAGTAATATGTGAAATTTCAAGTGAATAATACTACAAATTGTACGTACATTTATTGATTGATTGTTAATCAAAAATAACATATACCAAGAAAGTATTTCGGTACATTTCGGTTATCCGTGTGTGTGTGTGTGTATGTGAGTGTGGGGATAAATGTTGCTCTTCTGTTGCGGCCTATTTCGTGCTTGAAGAGGCGGTTCGGCTACAACCGCTTACTTTCTAGTGATAACAACAGCAGCAAATACTTTGCATCCCAATTAATACTTATAAATATATACATATATATATATAACATTTTTTGTTTTTCGTCTTTTTCTCCATTGCGCAGTTTTTGGTGTGTCTTCACAAGCAACGCGAAACGAAATTGCTAAAAATTAAAACCGAGACGAATCAGCATAAGAAACCAACAAAAACAACGAACGACCAAACAAGAAGCTGATCAAAAGCATAAAAAAAAACCAACAAAAGTCAACGTCAACGTTGACGCAGACAACAGTATTCGTATTCTCTCCCGTTCTTTTTTTTACTTACTTTTATCAACAATAATAAAAGTGCGTGTGTTATCTCTCGTTAAACCAACAAGAAGAAGAGACTACAGCAACTCAGTGAGCAGTGAGCAGAGGAGCAGCAAACAACAACTCGCAACTCCCAATCAGAGAGCCAAAATAGCAGTCCGTCAAGATGACGCAACCGTTACCCATACGCTTTCAAGAGCATTTACAGGTGAGTACATTTTTCTGACTTGTTTACGGTAAGGGTATTTGGTTCCCTATTTCTGTTGAATGAGGCACCTAGTCAGGTTCTGGTCCTATTGTGCAAGTGTGAGTTAAGTGGATTGTGTGGTGGGGAAAACCACTTGTTGACCAAGCCCAAGCGCCGCTTACCACATTCTTATTAGAATAAAGGAACACACTCTACCGTGGTTCAAGTTCATATTAATAATTATCGATGTGTTAAAAAATCTCAGCATTCTTTATACTAAACAGGTCACTAAATACAATTTGTCATTTACTAAGTTGTTACATTTTTTTTTTAAAAACTGTTTTTTTAACATTCTTAAATTTACTTGAAAGCAAATTGTAAACCACTGTATGCATTAATTTCTTAATGAAATTTCTTGGTAAAAAAAAAACTAGTCAAAACATTTTGCTCTCCGCTTGTTTGACTCTTCTGGCTTACGAAATGAAATGGTCGAATGAGTCACGCTCACACAAGCCGGTAGACCCCTTTGCCTGTCGCCTCTTTTTACTCTCACGCTCTCGCTGCTGTGTCGCTGAGTTGGGTGAATGTTGCTGATAAATTCGTCCATGGCAAGTCGGACCGAAAAGGCGGCACTTGCTCCAATTGGGAGATTCGCGCTCTTTCTCTTTCCGTTTTGCTCAGTTTTTATCTATGGTGGATTGCTGCTGTTTTACAGTTAAATGCATGCCAAATGCAACTGTTGTTATTTAAAATTACTAATACATGTATGTTACATATATACATGTATAGGTTTCATATACATATGCAGGTTTCAAATGAAAGACCTTACAGAAGCAGCAGTTTCTGCCGGTGACAAATGCCGGCTGTTACATACACATAAATACATGTATGCACGTATACTTACGCACACCTGCATGAGGTGAAGTTGTCGGACATTTGTATTGGTGTATTGCTAAACCGGTTTCTCTGTAATGACGAACTCTTTGATTTTCTGTTTCTTTTTGATTCAAAGGGAATGCTGGCTGCATCGTAGCGTTGACTTAAGCGTTGCAAGTGGAGCAATGTAAACTGTGGTCCATTTTTTTTAAACTACTTGCTACAATACAATGTGCAGCAAAGGCAGGTGGGAGTTCATTGCCTAGCCGCGGTTATAGCAGCAACATGTTACGTATTTCACCTACATACATATACCACTCCCACTCTTCCAATGCGTTTTTATGGTGTGGGGAAACAAAACAATACACACGCACACACACTAACATAACACACATTCACCACACTAAAGCATGTTGTAACTCAAGCTTAGCTGCTCGCTGTCGTCGTTTTGATTGAATAAATCAAAGATTTTTTTAAACCGTTTTCTTCTCGTTGCTGTATGTGTGTGTGTGTCAGAGAGATGCACAAGTAATCAGAGAAGGCAGTAATATTTACAGTAACTATGTGCGTGCTTGCATGTACAAACGAACTTACATATGTATGGTGCTGCCCATAATGTCATCAGTCGAACGGCATTGTTAATTTCACTTGTATCCAAGTCAGAATATCAGACTCAACGCATTAGGGCGACTCACTCTGTGGGCGAACTGTTTATCTAATCATTGGCCTGATTTGCCCAGACTCGTATACAACTAATTCTATAATATACAATGGTATATTCCTCGTAAGGGATTGTTGATTCTATGCATATCAATATTGTTGGCTTCAATATAACATTTGGGCTCCAGTATGCATAAATAAATCAATTTTGATGACAATTTTCTTGTTTATCTGTGTACCTAATGTAAATTTATTTAATTTTATACGCATGAGACACCCTACTTTAAATCGTGGTCCACTGCGCTCGCAGCGCAAGTGCTAAGCGGGGCGTGTAAACTAAATTTGATTATGGAGCACGCACTATACCGTCTTTTATGCATACCTCTGTGTGTGTGTGTGTGTGTGTGTGTGTGTGTGTGTGTGTGCGTGCGTTTGCGTGTGTGTCGCCTCTCGAACTAAGTGCGAAACGAGCATATGTTAATTTGTAATTGACATAAATAACATGAAAACGCGTTATAGAAAAACTGAAGCAACATTTGCGAATAACCCAAATATCGTATCTATCTAATATTTATGAACGTTATCAAGGAAAACGTGCTGGTATTTGCAAAGGTCAACTGCAATTATCGATTGATAATCGCTCTACGCGTAGATTCTCACAATTCCAGTGACACAACACAGTTTCACATTTATTACATACCGAATCGATATGTAGATTGTGCATACATGCGTATATATGTACAAATGTACATATGTACATTTAAGCAATTAACGCCCCTCATTTTGCGTTTCTTTCTCTTTATCGCTTGCGCTCTCTTCTCTTCTCTCGCTCTCTTCTCTCTCTCTCTCTCGCTCTCTGTTACTTTGTTAGCTTAAACTTTCTATTTTGCTTTCTTTAACCTAGCGTAGAGTAAATTATATGAATTCTTCGTCAAATCCGCTCCCCCCACACTTTTCTCATAAAACTTCCAGCATATGGTTCATTCTTATCGACATCGGACTTCTATATTTAACAGCTTCCACTGTAATAGTAGGCCATACATTTGTTTGTTTGCGCTTATTCTAAGCTGAAGACTATTTTAAACAGTAGGAAATTGAAAAAATTCTTTTTTTTTTTTAGCGGTTTATGCATTTCCGATTGCGCTTAGATGATTCAGTCGGAACAAACAACTTATTAGTTACACATTTCTACTGAGATTAGCGTTAACTCATGGACTAAAAGGCGGTAAAAAAAACCGCACTTTAATGTTAAGTTCTATATATACATATACGGATGCATATATGTACATATACAACTTTTGTATATATATAATATATTTTATAAAAATGAAATCTTTTAAAAGATTGTTTTTGTTGGTCTTTTGCTGCTCTTTTATGGGGTGTATGTACCAGGCACCGATACAGCTTCAACAGCAGTAAAAAATGCGAACAACAACGATTACCCTAAACTGATAAGTAGGTTTTTCTTGTTGTACTTTCGTTATCAGCGATGCATACAAAAATGTTGCTCCGCATTGTTTGACATCTAGTTTCTTCCAACATACAGTTAAATTTATGCTGTTATACTGACTTAACATGAAAGTTACAGTCCACTATGTATAGCTAGACAAGATATAGAAGGAAAAATTAGAGTATAACAAACCACCTACATGCAAAATATAAAGTTTAAAATGTTTGAGGCAAGAAGTTTAAAAGCGAGATTATGGGATCGGCATATTTCATTGCTACTGAACTTTTGATACATCGCTATTACAAAAAATTTAAAAAAAAAAAAAAACTTGGGTGCATTATTTGAATTCATGAAAATCGCAGAGAAGGGCGCATGCTGTGGTGCTAAGTACAAGTATGTGGTATTTAATTGTCGGCACACCTGAGATAACAGCAATTTCTAGTTATATACTAATATAATGCATATCTACATAGTGTGAGATAAATATATATATATGGATATTATAAAAAGTTTAGTTTGATTTAATCTATGTGCTGTGACTTTATCAATCGAACATATTTGCTCTGTATCTGTGTTATCTTTATTGTTCAATTCGTATATAGCATAATAATAAATATAAAATGTTAAAACGCCATTTGGGGTGGTTCCTTATATATATGTATATATATACATATATAGGAAAAATTTCACATTGTTGCTTTCTCTGTATTTTCTCTTTGTTTCATTAGCGAGTTTCTTTGTTTGAGTGCATTGCATTTATACTACATTTACACGCGCACTCACATATATATTATTTGTACAACAGGCGCCAGAAAGTATATAAAATCTGCCTTGGCTCTATCAACGATAAAATTGTTTTTATGTACCCGCAAGCGCAAGAGACAGAGAGAGAGAGAGAAAGAGAGAGAGTGCCTAATCGATCGCAGAACCTTGAACTTTTCTCGTCTCTGTTTACCATAAGTATTGACCAGACGACGACGACGATCAGCTACTGGGCTTGGCCTGTAGCGGGAAGGGGGGTCTGTTAGTAGAGGGGATGTTTTTGTGACAATTTGCGTTTCATATTCTTGATTTCGTTCAAAGATTTCGACGAGGGTGGCTGATCACGATTATCGATAATGATGATCTTTGGGTTCAGCCTCTGTACGTCTAGACGCAAAACGCGAAACGTGACTATATCTCTATATAAGTATGCACACACAAGTATTAAACTGAATTACTGATTGCCTGGCCGATTACTGTTTAACGCACAAACCAACGCACGTGAGAGCTGGGAGAAGCAGAAAAATAAACGGAACAGTGTTCTATATGCATAGCTGACCAGCTAGGAGGCTATATCTTATTGCAGTCGCCTTGGTAGTTGGGGTTTTTATATATTTCACCCACAAGTGTGAAAAAATGGTGGAAAATGATAAAGTTTCATTTGTCCCCAAGCTTACTTTCAAAGATTTTTTTTTTAGAAATTGATTGGACAAATATATGTTCAAGGAAATTTCAATTGCGGTCTGAATATTTACTATTAATATTAACTTTTTTTTTTTTTTTTTAAATCTTACCCTTAAGGTCTTAGAATATCTGAAGAAAACCCTCTTCCATATAACTTTTAGAATCGATCGAATCGGCCTTCAATTCATTTAAATATCTTGTTCACACCGATATCTGCAAAAAATTCATTTAAGACGTGTTTTTATTTTAAATAAAACCCATGCATGGAAAATTGTTGAAAAGCCGTTAGTTAAAATTGTTGGTATTAGAAGAACAACTAGCTAATAGATATATGTATATTAGAACACTTCTACAGAGTAACTTATTGCCGTTGTTTTCTTATACTTAATCGCTGCAGCTCACAAATGTCGGCATCAATCCGAACTCCTTCTCGTTCAGCACGCTCACAATGGAATCGGACAAGTTCATTTGTGTGCGCGAGAAGACGAACGATACCGCCCAGGTGGTCATCATTGATATGAACGACTCCTCGAATCCGACGCGCCGTCCCATTTCAGCGGACTCGGCCATTATGAATCCGGCTAGCAAGGTGATTGCGCTGAAAGGTAAGCGATTGAGCAATTATCCCATACAAATTGGAGCTTTACCTAATTTTTTGATTGTCTCTTTAAAGCGCAAAAGACGCTGCAGATCTTCAACATTGAGATGAAATCGAAAATGAAGGCGCACACGATGAACGAGGATGTGGTATTCTGGAAATGGATATCGCTCAATACGCTCGCCCTGGTCACCGAGACGAGCGTCTTTCATTGGTCAATGGAGGGCGATTCGATGCCACAGAAAATGTTCGATAGACATTCCTCGCTCAATGGCTGTCAGATAATCAATTACCGATGCAATGCCTCGCAGCAGTGGCTGCTGCTTGTTGGCATTTCGGCGCTGCCCAGTCGTGTCGCTGGCGCCATGCAATTGTATTCCGTCGAGCGTAAGGTGTCGCAGGCCATTGAGGGTCATGCCGCCAGTTTTGCCACCTTCAAGATCGAGGGCAACAAGGAGCCGACAACGCTTTTCTGTTTTGCTGTACGCACCGCAACCGGTGGCAAGCTGCACATCATTGAGGTCGGCACACCGCCCAATGGCAATCAGCCGTTCCCGAAGAAGGCCGTCGATGTATTCTTTCCGCCAGAGGCGCAAAATGATTTTCCGGTAGCGATGCAAGTTTCCGCCAAGTACGATACCATCTATTTGATAACCAAATATGGATATATCCATCTGTACGATATGGAAACGGCCACGTGCATCTACATGAATCGCATATCGGCCGATACGATTTTTGTGACCGCACCGCACGAGGCCAGCGGCGGCATCATTGGCGTCAATCGTAAGGGTCAAGTGCTGTCCGTCACCGTTGACGAGGAGCAAATTATACCCTATATTAATACAGTTCTCCAAAATCCCGATCTCGCACTGCGCATGGCCGTGCGCAACAATTTGGCTGGTGCCGAGGATCTGTTTGTTCGTAAATTCAATAAACTCTTTGGCGCCGGTCAATATGCCGAAGCCGCCAAGGTGGCTGCATTGGCCCCAAAGGCCATTCTGCGTACACCGCAAACGATTCAACGTTTCCAGCAGGTGCAAACGCCGGCAGGCTCCACGACGCCGCCGCTATTGCAATACTTTGGCATACTCCTGGATCAGGGTAAACTGAACAAGTTCGAATCGTTGGAACTGTGCCGTCCAGTGCTACTGCAGGGCAAAAAGCAGCTGTGCGAAAAGTGGCTGAAGGAGGAGAAGCTCGAGTGCAGCGAGGAATTGGGTGATCTTGTTAAGACATCGGATCTGACACTAGCTCTGTCCATCTATCTGCGCGCCAATGTGCCCAACAAGGTGATTCAATGCTTTGCCGAAACGGGTCAATTCCAGAAGATCGTGCTCTACGCCAAAAAGGTTAACTATACACCCGACTATATATTCCTGTTGCGTTCCGTGATGCGCAGCAATCCGGAACAGGGCGCAGGCTTTGCCTCCATGCTGGTCGCTGAGGAGGAGCCCCTGGCCGATATCAATCAAATTGTCGACATCTTTATGGAGCATTCAATGGTGCAACAATGCACAGCCTTTCTACTGGACGCACTCAAGCATAATCGTCCCGCTGAGGGTGCCCTGCAGACGCGTCTGCTTGAAATGAATTTGATGTCGGCGCCGCAGGTGGCGGATGCCATACTGGGCAACGCCATGTTCACCCACTACGATCGCGCCCACATTGCCCAGCTGTGCGAAAAGGCCGGCCTATTGCAGCGCGCCCTGGAACACTATACGGATCTGTATGACATCAAGCGTGCAGTTGTTCACACACACATGCTGAATGCCGAATGGCTGGTCAGTTTCTTTGGCACACTCTCCGTCGAGGATTCGCTGGAGTGCCTGAAGGCTATGCTAACGGCTAATCTGCGCCAGAATTTGCAGATTTGCGTACAAATTGCAACGAAATATCACGAACAGCTGACAACCAAGGCACTGATTGATCTGTTTGAGAGCTTTAAGAGCTACGACGGTCTCTTTTACTTTTTGAGCAGCATTGTGAACTTCTCGCAGGATCCAGAGGTGCATTTCAAGTATATTCAGGCCGCCTGCAAGACCAACCAGATCAAGGAGGTGGAGCGCATCTGTCGCGAATCCAATTGCTATAATCCGGAGCGTGTCAAGAACTTCCTAAAGGAGGCCAAATTGACAGACCAATTGCCGTTGATAATTGTCTGTGATCGTTTCGATTTCGTGCACGATCTGGTGCTCTATCTTTACCGCAACAATCTCCAAAAATATATTGAGATCTATGTGCAGAAGGTGAATCCATCACGTTTGCCGGTCGTTGTTGGCGGTCTTCTGGATGTGGACTGCAGTGAGGATATTATTAAGAACCTCATATTAGTTGTCAAGGGTCAATTCTCAACGGATGAGCTGGTTGAAGAAGTGGAGAAGCGTAATCGCTTAAAACTGCTGTTGCCCTGGCTGGAATCGCGCGTTCACGAAGGTTGCGTTGAGCCGGCCACACACAATGCCTTGGCCAAGATCTACATTGATTCCAACAATAATCCGGAACGTTTCCTCAAAGAGAATCAATACTATGATAGTCGCGTCGTTGGCCGCTATTGCGAGAAGCGTGATCCGCACTTGGCCTGTGTCGCCTACGAGCGTGGCCAATGCGATCGGGAGCTGATCGCCGTTTGCAATGAGAACTCGCTGTTCAAGAGCGAGGCACGTTATCTGGTTGGACGTCGCGATGCTGAACTGTGGGCTGAGGTCCTATCGGAGGCCAATCCCTACAAGCGTCAGCTCATCGATCAGGTGGTGCAGACAGCTCTGTCCGAGACACAGGATCCCGATGATATATCTGTTACGGTCAAGGCGTTCATGACCGCCGATTTGCCCAACGAGCTAATCGAACTGCTCGAAAAGATCATACTGGACTCTTCTGTGTTTAGCGATCATCGCAATCTACAGAATCTGCTCATCCTAACCGCCATCAAGGCGGATCGCACACGCGTCATGGACTACATCAACCGTTTGGACAACTACGATGCACCAGACATTGCCAACATTGCGATTAGCAATCAATTGTATGAAGAGGCATTCGCCATATTCAAGAAGTTCGATGTGAACACCTCAGCCATCCAGGTCCTTATCGATCAGGTCAACAATTTGGAGCGTGCCAACGAGTTTGCCGAGCGCTGCAACGAGCCGGCGGTATGGTCACAGCTGGCCAAGGCTCAGCTGCAACAGGGCCTGGTCAAGGAGGCAATCGATTCATACATCAAGGCAGATGATCCCAGTGCCTATATGGATGTTGTTGATGTTGCCAGCAAAGTGGAATCCTGGGATGATCTGGTGCGCTACCTGCAAATGGCACGCAAGAAGGCACGCGAATCCTACATTGAAAGCGAATTGATTTATGCGTATGCCCGCACCGGACGCCTGGCCGATCTTGAGGAATTCATCTCGGGTCCCAATCATGCGGACATACAAAAGATTGGCGATCGCTGTTTCAGCGATGGCATGTACGATGCCGCCAAATTGTTGTACAACAATGTTAGCAACTTTGCCCGTTTGGCCATTACGTTGGTCTATCTGAAGGAGTTCCAGGGCGCTGTCGATTCGGCACGCAAAGCCAACTCGACGCGCACCTGGAAGGAGGTCTGTTTTGCCTGTGTCGATGCCGAAGAATTCCGTTTGGCGCAAATGTGCGGCCTGCATATTGTTGTCCATGCCGATGAGCTCGAGGATTTGATTAACTACTATCAGAATCGTGGCTATTTCGAGGAGCTAATTGCGCTGCTGGAATCGGCGCTTGGTTTGGAGCGCGCACACATGGGCATGTTCAGCGAATTGGCAATACTCTATTCCAAGTTTAAGCCATCCAAGATGCGCGAGCATCTGGAGCTGTTCTGGTCGCGTGTCAATATACCGAAGGTATTGCGTGCCGCCGAATCGGCGCATCTGTGGTCCGAGCTGGTCTTCCTCTATGACAAGTATGAGGAATATGATAACGCTGTGTTGGCCATGATGGCCCATCCGACGGAGGCGTGGCGCGAGGGCCACTTCAAGGACATTATCACCAAGGTGGCCAACATTGAGCTCTACTACAAGGCCATCGAATTCTATTTGGACTTTAAGCCGCTGCTTCTGAACGATATGCTGCTCGTGCTAGCGCCACGCATGGATCACACCCGTGCCGTTAGCTATTTCTCCAAGACGGGCTACCTGCCGCTGGTGAAACCATATTTGCGCTCCGTACAATCGCTGAACAACAAGGCGATCAACGAGGCGCTCAATGGGCTGCTCATCGATGAGGAGGATTACCAGGGCTTGCGCAACTCCATCGATGGCTTTGACAACTTTGATACCATTGCGCTGGCGCAGAAGCTTGAGAAGCACGAGCTCACCGAATTCCGTCGCATTGCAGCCTATCTCTACAAGGGTAATTATCGATGGGGCATCTTCATGCCCTTGTCTACATTAATCTGATTCTTTAATAAACATTTAATTCTATGCAGGCAACAATCGCTGGAAGCAGAGCGTTGAGCTGTGCAAAAAGGACAAACTGTACAAGGACGCTATGGAGTATGCCGCCGAGTCTGGCAAACAGGAAATCGCTGAGGAGCTGTTGGGCTGGTTCCTGGAGCGCAATGCACACGATTGCTTTGCGGCATGTCTATATCAGGTGCGGTCAAGTCTTCTTTTTGCCATTACTAAGCCCTATATGTATTACAAATATTTATCTTTATCCCTGGTAGTGCTACGATTTGCTGCGTCCCGATGTCATCCTGGAACTGGCATGGAAACATAAAATCATGGACTTTGCGATGCCCTACTTGATACAGGTAATTAACTGCAGTGAAAGAAATGCCAAATACAACACGGACGGATTGATTTATATTTGAATGAATTTGCAGGTGCTGCGCGAGTACACCACCAAGGTGGATAAACTGGAGCTGAACGAGGCGCAACGCGAGAAGGAGGACGACACAACGGAGCATAAAAACATAATACAAATGGAGCCGCAGCTGATGATAACAGCAGGTCCAGCAATGGGCATACCGCCCCAATATGCCACAAATTATCCACCTGGTGCGGCAGCAGCGGCTGCAGCAGCGGCAGGACGCAACATGGGCTATCCGTATATGTAGGCATCCAACAACAACACAATTGTAGCTGTAACAACAACAACAACAACAACAATCAGCAGCAACAGCAACAACAACACCATAAACAACAAAAACATAAACAATGACAACTGAATGCCGCATTCATAATTCCTTTGCATGAGCGCCAATAACGACCAATTCAACAACAACAACAAAACACCAACACAACAACAACAACACGCGTAGTGAAATATGTATACCCATATATATATATATATATATATATATGTTTATATATATATAAATATATCCATTTTTTTTGTTCATAATGTTGAGCCGCAAAAAAGTTGCCTTTGACAGAAACAATAATTCGGTTAGTTGCTTGCTTCCTTCTTTTTGTTTCATTTTTTTTTAATATTTTATAATTTATTCGTTCATTTGATTTATTATTGTAAATCTTTCAACTTTTCATAATCCAAAATATTTCATTCGTAATTATTTATATCGAATGCATTTGCTTAACATTTTAAAAGTTGAAATATTTATGTGATGCCGTGCTCACGCTATCTCTTTCTAATACATGCTCTTTCCCTTTCTATGTCCAAAAACCCAACAGGTACAAAAGCAACAACTAAGCGAATGCCTCAAAATAGCTCCAAAACTACAACAACAACAACAACAACAACAACAACAGCTTCGTCAGAGCGAACACGACAACAACATAAGCTTAAATGAAAAGGAGGAGAATAACAAGAACAAAGAAACGTTTACGCTAACAACAAAAACTAGTGTTCAGCTAACAAAATAAAAAAAAATGGTCGTAGTTTATTATTATTATTAAAATTATTACATTTTAAGCATACAAAATAAACAAAAAGAAATCATTAAAAAAACACACACACACACAAATACCCACACCCCACACACAGACACGTATAAATATATAAACATTAATGCAAATATAAATAAAAATTAAATAAATAAAATTTATTAATTATAAATAATAATAATAAAAAAAAACAATATCGGAGAATTATATACACGTGTATATGATTATATAATGCACGCAACATCTAATAAACAAAACGTAAAGCACTTTTGCAATTAGCAAAAACAAAAAAAAAAAAAAAAACCGAAGGAAACTTTAAAAATATTTATTAAAATGCAAACAGCAGGCACAGTTAATGTTTAAAATGTATTTAATTAAAATGGCAAATTTGGCAGCAACCAGCCGAGCTAAGAGCGAAAGAGAGAGCGAAAGAGAGAGCGAGGTGAAAACTAAGCAAATTCACCATAGTTGAATATTTGCCATTTTTGCCAAATCTCACCACACACAAACACTAAATATTACTGCTGATAAAAAAAACAAAAAACATAACGAAATTTATTGAAATTGTAACTTGTTTGTATAAAAAATGATGAAAGAAAACGAACACAAACTCACGAAACATTCTACTACTTAAAGAAGTAAAGATTTTAACTTAAAGCAAATTATATTAAATTTATGTGAAAATAAAAACATAACAATTATATAAAAAATAATAAGCAAAAAAACATTAAACAAAAAAAAAACAACAACAAAGGAAAAATAATGAACGTAGCACGTTAAAAAGGAAATAAAAATTACATTATATATAAAATATATAAATATATATATATACATATATATATATGTATATTTATATAATATATAATAATAAAAATGCAACGTTAACAGATAATTTTAAATTTAGAAATTTTTTGCGTTCCACAAACACGATCGACGATCCACAAACACACTAGAAAACTTTCCAATTCGCATAACGAATCAACCAGAAAATATTGAGGCAAAATTCAATTCGAACTATTATATGCTAACGGTATATAAACATAAATAGAGAAAATATTCAAAACATGCCACTGCAAGCATCTTTTATTTATGTATCTATTTTCTGTTCTCTTCATGCGCATATATATATATATATATATATATATATATATATATATATATATATATATATATATATATATATATATATATATATATATATATATATATATATATATATATGTATATGTATTTGTATATGTATATTAATTTTATTTATTTTTTTTTTATAAAAACATATTTTTTGACTATTGCAACTAGCGTCCCTCAAGGCGTACGTAAATGATATCCATTAATTCCTAATTAAATAACTCATTATTATGATTCAAATCAAAACTAGCAGTGTCAGTAATTATTTCTTTAATCTCTCCATCATATTGTATTGTTTTTTTTTTAAACATCTTTTTTTTTTTTTGTATGTTTGCATGTTGAATGTATGATTTAATTTGGAGATCGTCGAGAGGCGATGTAATAATGATATGAATTAATAAATATATACCGATCATTATTGTACTATTATGATTATTATTATAATATTATTATTATTGTCTATTAATATTATTTTGTGTAATTGCTATTATTATATACATATTGAAAATATACAAAATATAAATTACATTTAAAACCCGATTTCTTTAATGACCTTCCGCTACATCAATGCATTTATTCGTGATTTAGTCTGCTGTGTGTCTGGGATGGGGGGTTTAACTAGAGTGACTAAGTCAGTATTTAGAATTGTTTCTAACGGATGCTTTGAGGACAAAGTGAGCAAAACGTTTGTGGAGACACCTAACGGCAAATGCAGGAAGCTTGCTACGTAACAAGAATGAGTAACGTAAACGTATGACTGCATGACGTTATCGATAAATTGGCAAAGCAACACTTTTGAAAACCGGCTGCTAAGTAAACAGACTCAAAAGACGCACACTTGTTTGTATTCGTCGAACTTCAAATAAATACGATTATAAATGGTTTGATTTAAATCATACTCCGAAAATATGTTGATTGTCAAACTGTAATTTATCATTTGAATGCAACAGTACGACGAATGCGCGCTATGTTGGCAGTAACATAAAAACAGCGCCGTAACAGGAGGCTAACAGGAGAGTAACATACATGCTCGTGACGTCACACATTTACATTAAATGGCTTCAGATGTTGTAACTGTAACTTATGGTCTAATGGCGAGTAAATGTGTAAGTTGTTTAAAACTATTGGAGATCTGCTATAAATCGAATTGATGTATGCATAAAATTAATAATAATCACACGTGACGTCACATGCGCATATTTTGACGCTCTCAGAGAACGCTAAATGACGGCTCGGCGCATGGTATACCTTGGTTGACTTTCAACGTGTGCTGTTATTTTTTTGTTGTTTTTCGATTGTGTCTTGTTGGATTTTTGCCGTGAACGGACTACGACGTCGCGCGACCGACGGCCAACAATTGCATTTTGTTGTTTTTTTTTTCGTGTGTGCCGCGGTGTTGCGTTTGAAATACGCGTATTTACTTGATCGCGCGTATCAAAATGGCAGCAGCAGCCGCCGCAACAGCAGCTGAAATTATGCAATGAAGTGTGTAATTTTGTTGTTTTAATTATTTTCAATTTTTTTTTTTGTAATTTTTTTTGCATTTTTTCTCTCGTTTTGTGGAATACACATGTGGGAAAATAAAGTTCATGTCGCACTTTTTGACCAAGTGCGCGCGTGAGTGTGCGCTGCTGTGTGAGTGCTTGTGTTGCAAATTGGCAAAAACTATTCAAACAAAAAGAGCTTAAATCATAAAAAATATAAATATAAACAACGAAAATATGCAGTGCAGTTTCAGTTGTTAAAAGTGTGCGTGCGTGTGTGTGTGTATGTGTTTGTATGTGTGTGTGTGTGTGTTGTGTATGTGCCGAACTGAACGCGCCTTTGTAGTTGATGTCGCGCAACCAGTTTTTACGTACATATTCAACAAGTTTCTGCTAAAAACGGCGGCGAATGCATGTAGCTGTGTGAGTGTCAGAGTGTTTTGTGTGCGTGTGTGTGTGTACTTGAGCGAAATTTGATTTTTAGCAAATGAAATTAGTTGCAGCAAACGGAAACCAAAAAGTAACTGCAAACCAAAGTCAAATTGCAAGCAGCCGCAACAGAAAAAACTGCAATAATAACAACAACAACAGCAACAGCAACAATAACGAAAGCAGGGCAGCAATAGCGGCCGCCACATGAATTTCGCTAAATAATATTTGCGTTTATGCAGTGTCCGATAGTACGATCAGCCATTGCTAATATTTTCATTAGTTATTATTGACTTTATGAAAGCTCAATAATTACAAACATTTCCAAATTTATAAATAATATTTAGAAAATTTCACTATTCGCACGCTTTTGGCTGCAATTTAATTTGAAATCAACAAATATAACAATAGCTGGCGACTACGTGCGACGCATAAACGTTATTATGACTTGACGTTTTCGGCTGCTGCAGCAGCATCAGTGCGTGAGCGACTGAGCGAGCAAGTGAGCATGTGAGCCGCTCTTTGCGCTGCTTAGACTGCGCACTCTCTCGCTCTTGCGTCTCTGGCGCTGCTGCGCCTTTAGCTAAATAACCTGTCGTTGTTGTTGTTGCTGTTGCTGCTCCTGCTGCTGCAGCTGCAGCTGCAGTTGCACTCTTCATATTGAGTATTTGAAAAAAAAAGTTAGTACTACAAGTAATTATTTTACTACATATGCACATGTATGTGGCTTGCTTTTCGTGTGTGTGTCTATTTTTTTTTTTGCCTGCTTTTTCAATGTGTTTGCTATTTGTGTATTGCGGGTAATAATAAAGACGGCAGCCGTTTATTAATGTTAAATGTTATTGTTATTGTTTACACAGTCGCCCAGCACCATGTACATAATTACATACATACATGCATATTTTGTTATTCTTTTTTTTTTTAACCTGCATATACATACATACAATATATTTGAATGTGATTCTTTTCGGCTGGTTTGGCTTTTGTGTGCGCTTAACCAAAATGGAAACGAAACGAAAACCGTTATTTGTGATTTTCATAATTATTATCATTTTTATTAATGTCTCTCTCATATATGTACATATATATCTCTATGTATGCACATGTGCATGTATCTGCATTTTTCGTGTGGCTGTGTGTGAGTATTAATTAAAGTTCCTTTTGTTTTTGCAGTGCCGCAAATTTTGTTTTGCATTTCTTTCGTTTGACAACAACAAAAAAAAAAAAGAGAAAATTAAACCAAGTGCAACTAAAAAATTAATGTTCTAAAACAAAACAAAAAAACACAACAAATTGTGCATATTAATTTTATATTAATATATATTTATATAAAAAATATTTCGTTCAATTATTTTGTTTTGCTTAAAATTATGAAGCAGACGCAACACAAAAATA